ATCTTCAAAACTTTGAAACCTGTACAACCCCTTCTCCCTTTCTTTCTCTTGCCAAATCAACTCTATAAACTCAAGAACAGCAAAATATCAAAAGCAACTTTTATGGCTGGCAGGAACAAGAACTAACTTATCAATATTGTGTACTCTTAAGGGATTAATGAAAAGCGACTCAAGTTGGAAGTCTCTATTTTGCTTTAGTAATGGGTTTTTAATTATCTTGTATCTTTTTTCTAGGGTGTTAATATTAACTAGAATGGGAGGACAAAAGGGTATTCACTGACGTGGGAAGGAATGAAACTGGCGGTGTTTATAGGCCTTGGACAAACCGCGGCCGAGTATCCAGGAAGAACTAGAGAAATTCATGCAAGTATGCCAATGCCCCCCGCGTTGGCCGTGACATGGTGCTCATCCATTTCCTTATTTTGAGTAAAAATCTTTGACTGTGAAAGTGAATCCCTCTTTTCAAGTTACGCGATAATATTTGCAAGTACATGTATAGATTATAGTGTCTGAGGCCTTGTTTTTGATAAATTAGTTCACCACTTAACCACCAGCTTTTGGTCTTGGAGCTACCACCAATGCATTAAAACTTGATGAGATGAAAGGCAAGATTTGAAAGTGGCTCTACTTAAAAAAGTGGCTCCCACCAATTTGCCAACATTAAAAGTGACTTTACTTAAAAAAATCCAGACAGGTGCGTTGTGCATCCGTCTGAATGTATTTTATCAAACGCAATCGAAGGAATTACGTTGCCATCTTTGGTGTAAATATACGTTACATGTACTAAGCATTACTTAGATATTAATGTATACTAAAAGTACATGTACATAATATGGTCTAACCAACGTTGATGCTGTATTCAACATCAAAGATATATGATAACTGGCTTATCAAAGAAACTTGATTTCTTAACCAATACCGATTTGGCAGATCACTGACAAATACCTTAATGATTCCCAGTTACATTTCGGAAGGGGATCCATCCTCAGTTATTAAACTTATCCAAAGTAATGAAAACATTCTCTCGGATATTGGCTTGATAATTGAGAATATTCATTTAGCTTTCTTAGAGTAAACGTATATTGGATTCTTAGAGAGGCTAACTACCAACAGGGGTTGGTCCGAGTGGTAAGCGGTTCGGATTCGCTTAAGCAGGTCTCGTGTTCGAGTCCTAGTGTACGCAGACACCCCTGTTGGGAGACTCACCCACCATAGCCAGGTGCGCGATGCGGGTCGGGTCCGGATTAGTCGGGGCAAAGCTTCGGATACCGGGCGGGCAACCAAAAAAAAAAAAGAGAGGCTAACTCACTTTGCAAAATCACGCAATCTTGCAAAATCTTTTTGGAACTCCCCCAATTGAGCTTTGTCAGACAAATGGTGGTGGACGAATTCTAACAATCTCATTAACAAAATCGTTCTTGTATTTTATCAAAAAGAAAAAAAAAACATTGATAATGTGAGAAACCATCAGCAGATAGCTAATTATTAACTTATTAAAGCCGTGTCAAACTCAAATGCAGGGAATCAAACTCGTCAGAAATGATTTGCTGTAATGCGTATTAGTTGCCTATGGTTAATCTACTACACTACGCCTTCCGGGCATCAGTTGAGGGAATGCTTTACTTCCTTTTTGATTTAACGATGTTGCAAAATTCATTTCATAATCAATTCTATGACCAACTATTTGCATCGTTTCTCGATTACATTGTTACAAAGACTTAGAATTTCCAATTGATGAGTTTAAATGCCGTAACATGAATTAATTGTAACAATATTTCGTTTGAGCACCTGAGAGTTTATGTAAATATACTATCTATCATCCACGAATTTAATCTACCATCTATTCAACTATTAAAACATTTACAATCTTCATCTCTCCCATCCCGATCCACTCTGTGCAGACCAAAATAAATTGGGGAAGTGCACCTCAAAAAAGAAAAAATTGCCAGCCCTTTCTTAGAAATTTTTTGGTCCAAAAAAGGAAAAAAAAAAATTGCCAACACTTTCGAAAAACTAAGACAAAAATAGCCGATGAAATTAAGCAGCACCGGGGTCGATCTCATTGGATCACAAACGTCATTAACTAATGCTCATAATATTATCAAACTATATATATATACACAAATTAAAAACTATAGCTATATAAGTTAAACAAATGAATATTCCTAGTACTAATTGGTGTTATCATTGAAAGCGAAAGGGTCATCCCCAACGTAATTTCCAGGAGGATCATAGGAACATATTGCAAAAGTATCACCATTGGAGCATTCCACACGAGCACATCCCAGCCTCACGCTCTCTCTCCACACGATTTGGGTATAATGCCCGCAGACTTTTCCGGGCTTGCAGCTAATTGTGGCCCGGTCATAGTAGCGATGTTCCCTCACCCACAGCCGCACCGCGTCGGCCGCCCCCCAGTGGTTTCCCTCACCCCAGAAGATGTTCTCCCCGTAGGGACCGTCGGAGTGGATCAAATCGCAGTCTTGCTTGCGCTTTTGGGCGTATACCCGGGCATAAGAGGCCAGCTTGGAGTCCCACACGAAAGGCGGTTCGCCGGCGTGGAGGCGGACTTTGTTGTGGTCTGCTAGAAATGCTTCATCATCTGCTGTTAATAACGATGGCGGTGCCAGGGGTGGTGGACGTTGTATTTGATGCCCTTGGCATTGGTTTTGCATGGAGGAGGAATTAACTGCTAAGATGCATGATGACATCATTATGATGATGATGATCGAGGCGATGAAATTACTAGTACTCCTACAAGTTTTCCAAGATTCTTCCATTGCTTTTTCTTTTTCTTTCTTTCTTTTTTAATTATGAGGGATTTATTTGCCATGTATGTCTGAACTGAAGGATCTTGTGAGTGTGGAGGGGCATGAGATCGAAGATGGGAGAGGGGACAATGGACAGCCCTTCCTTCCTTGAAAGACCATTTCTCGCTGAAAACAGTGAAAATTTCTGTGGCGGTCCCAGCAGTTCGCTTCATTTGTGAGTGTGTGTGAATGGGCTCCTGAAGCCCAACGAAGCCCACTAAAATTTCTTAGCCCAACGGTTTGGGTCTCCGACCCGTATATGGGTATAATTATTTATGTAACAAAATCTATAATTTATAATTATACACATCATGATATAAAATGTTAATAATTTATATATTTATATTTATACTAATTCATAATTATAAAATATATATTATATATAATTATGTATTTAATTATGAACTTGGGCCGAGTTCGATTTGATATATCTTGAAACTCATATAATAGTATAAATTGATTTTGAACATTTTAATTTAAGTTTAAAGTCCAAAAGCCTGTGTAATTTCCTCAAAATTTTTAAAATGCACATCTCAAAATGCCCAAATACAAAAAAATTTCCCTCTTCTTTCTTCTTTTCCTCCCTCACCTCAACCCATCACCACTTTCACCATCGCCCAATGCCAACCGGCACTTTTCTCCCTACTCTTCCTCGCTTCCTCTCCTTCTCTCTTCCCCTTTCCTCTTTGCCACCCCCTTCTGGTTGCATGGCTAGTTTGGACGTACAGTTGGTTATGCGGCTAGCGGGGAAGGAGGGCCAGAGGAAGAAAGAGAGGGAGGAGGTGGAGAGGAGAGAGGGGAGGAAGAGAGGGAGGAGAAGAAAGGAATGAGAAGGAGGGAGGAGGAGAGAAGAAAAAAGAGGGGCAAGGTGGTGGTGACTGTCCATCATGGTGCGGCCAGCGACCGACGATGGGAAAGGAAGGAAGAGAAAGGGAAGAAGAAGAAGACAAAGAAAGGGAATCGACCGAACTAGCTCAGTTGGCCATTAGAGAGAGACCAAAGTCCTTCCTTAGGCGTAGCCAAGAAGTTTGGAACCCCTGTTTACATTTCCCATCCAAGATTTTTTGAACACTTTTGGTGGTAGTTTAGTTCTCTTCAAGTTCTCAATAGCTTAGTTAGCTCTATCGCCATCCTCCTCTCCCTAACACAGGACCAGTTGTAAAAATGTTATGTTAAAAAAAAAGAAAGGAAAAGGGAAAAGAAAAATAAAAACCCCTCCCCTTAGCATAGGATAAGTTGTAAAAATGTTATATACAAAAAAAAAAAAAGGAAAGAAAAAAAAAAGAAATCTTTTCTTCAAACCCTCAAATATACAAAAGTTTTTTTTACAATTTCTATAATAACCTATGATAAAATTTTATACAAGCGACCAAAAAACTTATTTTTAAGTCTTCATGATCGATCTCTTTACGCGTTGCACTTAGAGACCTTCTATTATGTGCTCAATACATGGACGTGCCATCTGACAAACATGTGAATCTTGCATGTCGCCTATAGACACCAAATGTGTTATGATGCATTGTGCACTCAGTTTATATCATTAAAAAAAATAAACCTTGTTTTTGGTTAATCAAGAACATGCATTATAGTTGGTTGTAGACTTGTAGTGCCCTGACATGCGACATAAGCTTTGGATCTTTACAGTTATTCAATATAACATTTTTAGTGCCATCGTATTATTCTAGCTTGAGCGGAACTTTGTGTGTTGCAATGGTGTTTTGCAAATAAGGGTCTCTCTAAGGCGTATGCACTAAGCATTTATTAAAATGGAATTTAGGTAGTAATATTTTAAAAAGTAAAATTAAATAAAAAAAAAAGTGTATAAATGTAAGGTTAGGTAAAAATTATTAGTATGTGTATTTATATGATAAATTAAATGTCATTTACGTATACTATCAAGTGCCTAGTGAAACTTGTTAGAAAACCCTTGCAAAAGATGCGTTTACTACTTGAGCTAAGGGCAGCTAAATGTCCTTCATTTCTTGATTAAAATCTGCCTACAACTAGACAGGATGTAATTAAAATCTTTAAATAAGCAAATTTAAATTTTCAAGTTGAAAACAAATTTAATAGATTGCTTGAAAAATTTCTGGCCGAATAAACGCATGAACAAGTTTTTATAACACTAACTTGCCCTAATTAAGGCCAAATTTAAGATACTAAAATTGTTGTTGTCCAATACGAGCAAACTTTTTGAATATGAGCTGCCAATACTTAGATATAAACCTCGTACCAAACTGAGAACTTGAAAAGGCCGGACTGCAATGAACCAAAGGAGCATATGTGCATCCTCTAGATTATTCATCCAATCTACATTCGGTCACAAACTGGGATGGCTGGAAAATATGGCTATATCATAAACTAGGTTTATTGAAATTCTTTAGTACGTTATTGAAATGGGTTTTTTTTTTTTTTAACAAAACAAATGCATAGTAGTTGATTGTCTTGTGACTTTAGCAGCACCGGTGCGTGTTATTCAGCTGCGCTATCTCTTGGTGGATGGGTACTTTTCGTCTGTTGAGTTCATGAATCAGGACTAGCAGCTAGCTAGGACTGCATCCTTGATGAGCTGGAGTGATAGCTGTAGGTCATCAAGCAGCTGGTGAGGGTCAGGAATGACGCTTTCATCGACTGATAGAACCATAGTCATCTTGTTCACATAGCTTTGGAAATTAATCATCAGTGCCTATCAACAAGGCAAAGCAAATCATCAGACGATACTTGTTTGCCAAGCCAAAGATAACCCATTATTATCTTTATCCTAAGTTTATTGTTATGAAGTACTCACATGGGGTTGGCCATAAGAACCTGAAGCAAGATATGCAATTGGATGGCCATAGAACCCGATTTCTTCTTGTGGTCCAACTATGTTGGAGACGCACATTGTTGTCTGCGTGATAATTCTGTGAGATAGGTCACTGGATGCCTGCAGATTGGTTCAAAGAATATGCATACTTGGTCAATTTTTAGGTTCATCAGCAATGGATACTAGTATATCTTAATTGCTCCTCCATATTAGAAAACACATTGAGCTAGCTTTTGTAGTTGGTACAACCTTAACTCCGAAAAATTTGAGCACCAAATCAGCAATGGAGAATGTGTAAACGGCCTCAAGGGAATTCTTCTTCCTATCAATGGTTGCCTTTGCTTCTCTAACATAATCCAGAGGATCGTCTCGTAATGCAATTTTATAGGGAAGAAGCACGAAACCAATCCAGTTTCCCCACTTGGCTTCAGCGTCTTTCTCCATCATATCTGCTAAAACCTGCAACAATTGTTATCAGATTAGACATATAACCTGATCATTAATTTTCTTTCTTTTTTTTTTCTAGAAAAGTTCACATACTGAGATGCAGACACTAAATGAGAATTAAGATCTTTATTTTGGGTTCACTATCATTATTCCCAATTAAGATCACAGATCAGTCACCTGAATTCCTGCAGATGGCCTCAGGTTAATCAGGATGGTTGACCTCAGTCGAATATTCTTCGGCAGGTTGTTTCTCTTCTGAGTCTCCCCCTCATCTTTCTTACCTTCAGCTGGAAAGTGGAATCTTTATTACTAATGAGCACTAATGCCATCTAAATAGTCATATTCATCTCTAAAGTTGTATGGACTTACAGATGGGTTCACTCAAAATATAATGCTCAGAAAGCACAAATTAATGCTTACTGAGACACTAAAATATTTTTATCAGCGTCTGACTTTTTTATGGAAACAATAAGGTGTCGTAATCAATGATTAATTATTCAAAGATCTGTGAAGACTTACCATATCTCCGATTGAGATACCGAGACAAACCAGCTTGCGTAATTCCAAGTGCAACATCGTTTATGGTCTATCAGATAGAGTAAAATCATTTAACTAGTAGCGACTCAAAATTTGTGACATCCAAATCATTGAAAGAAATATTTCCAAGAAAACGTCAAAATGAAAAACATAGAAAAATAAAGAAAAGAAAATTCAAAATAATTAAACTACTTGCCATGTTCATTGCATTTTTCACCACCTTCATGTCGTCAAGGCTAACAATCCTGTAAACAACTCGCCTGGGGTTTAACTCGGAACATGGGGGAGCCTTGATTGGAGTTTTGGTATCTTTCAAAAACAACGCTGTAGCTCCAAAGATCACAATGTCTCTTATGGTATTCCAAATTAATTGGATGAACAACCATACAGCAATTAAGTAATACTTCCAGAACTTCGGCTTTGAAAGGCCTGAAAACGAGTTGGTGGTCTTCTTATTCTGGCCTGGAATTGTTGGCAGTTTATCTGGATCAGCTACTTGGCGGGTGCAAGCCAGTAGAAGAGACATTAGAGACGTGCCATCTCCCAGAGAATGATGGATGCGGACGACCGCAACACCTTGAGCATCAGATGTTTTGACATTGAGAACATGGAGGTCCCAAAGAGGTTTAGACTTGTCAAGACTGGATTTGCTAAGGTTGTATACGTAGTCCTCCACAAACTTGTCTGGTGATCCCATGTTGCGGTCCAGGTCTGGTACCACAACATGCTGATCTATGTCCACCTTTGTCCGAACCCATTTCATCTCTCCAGCTTTCTCATCCACAACCTATTAGTATAAACCAATTAATGTGGTCATCAGTAGACATCACTATATGCTACTAATTGAAATTAAGGCTGGTATGAGATTGTATCAGTGAGTTAATTTTCTTAGGCAAGCCAAAATAGTGATGATGAATGGAAAAATTGGAAAATTATCAGTTTTAGTTTGAGTGAGAGGAGTGAATTACTGTACAGGGAATTTCAATGATCAAGGTTTGTTGTACATTTTTGTAGCTAGGCAACACGCCCTAACTTATATATAGTTATACCTATCCAAATTCAGACAAGTGATTGTTCCTACATTGATGCCGCTTTTAGTTATTTGTACGTGTTTTGGCTAATAGATATCGAAAGAGGCATAAAAGTGTTGATACGAAGGCCATAAAGAATTGGGCAAGACAGATTCTACGAGGTTTAGATTATCTTCACAGTCAGAATCCACCTATCATTCACCGAGACTTGAAATGCGATAACATTTTTGTAAATGGAAATCAGGGGCAAGTCAAAATTGGTGACCTTGGGCTGGCAACTGTTTTGCAGCGGGGTGCTGCAAAGAGTGTTATAGGTTTGATTCTGACAACCTCTTTCGTCTACATATTCTGTAATAGTAGAACCTAAACTTCTCAACGAGCTCATTTTATGTTTTTTTTTTTTTTTTCATTAGGAACCCCTGAATTTATGGCCCCAGAAGTTTACGAAGAGGAATACAATGAGTTAGTTGATGTGTATTCATTCGGAATGTGCATGCTGGAAATGGTCACTGTGAATATCCTTACGCTGAGTGCAAAAATCCAGCTCAAATTTTTAAAAGAGTTACCTCTGTAAGTTCAATTCAACTTGATGTCATATACATATATATACCATTATCAGGTCTTACGTGTGTGTGTGCAAGATTAATCATCCATGGGAATTTGCTCAATTCAGGGCGTTAAGCCAGCTTCTCTTGGTAATGTGAGTGATACCAAAGCCAAAGAGTTTATTGAGAAATGCTTGCTTCCAGCGTCTAGGAGGTTGCCTGCTAAGGAGCTTCTTAAAGATCCATTTCTCGAAGCTGATAATATGAAAGAACCCCTTCGGCATCCAATAAAGTTAACTAACCAAACTCCTAGATCGCCAGGTTTATTGAGCTGTGAACCTCATTCTATGGATGTGGATGCCGAGTATACTCGATCCAATACTGAGAGTCCGCACGGTGCTATTTTAGAATTTCAGCGGGTGCATCAAAACAAGGAATTCAGGTTGAAGGGGAAGAAAAATGATGATAACTCAATCTCGTTGACTTTGCGAATAGCAGACCAGCATGGTAACTAACTGCCTGCCTAACTATTGTTTCCAGTGCTTTAATACTATCAAGGTAGTATTAGTTTTGTACAATATAATCGATTTATTTGATTCCATTATTATTATTATTTTTTTTTTTTAAGCTACAGGCCCGGTCAAGAACATACACTTTCTTTTCTACCTTGATACTGACACTGCACTCTCTGTCGCCGGAGAGATGGCGGAGCAACTATCATTGGCAGATCATGATGTGGCTTTTATTGCTGACTTTATTGACTATCTAATTTCGAGGATTTTACCTAGTTGGATACCCTCGTCTGATGATTATTCAAGTGGGGAAAGAAGCACGTACGAAGGCATTTCAATGGCTGGCCGCAACTTAGCAGCAAGTAAAAGGTTTTCGACTCCAAATGGTTCTCCTGCCGAGGTGGGACTCAAGCCAGACGATCATGCTATGGATAATGACGATAATATTCGAATGAGTACAATGGCTGATAAAGGTAATTCGTGCACCAATCCAAATCCAAGTGACATGTCACCTGGCGCTGCACTTGACTTTCTACAACCTGCAGCCTTATATGGTGAAGAATCCAGTGGATCAATAACTTCGGAGGCAATGGGAGAGAATGCCTCAGATAAGAATGAGAACTTTGCTGAATCTCTTGATTACAATAATATTAGTGAGGAGGCCTTTAAAGGTTATAGCACTCCGGCCTCTGAGATGGATTTTGCGGAATTGTATTATGACGAATGTAAGATCCAGGAAAACGATTGGGATGGTCTAAAACACGGAGCTTGGAATGAAGTTGTAAAGAATCTTGGAATGAGTTTCACAGATGTAAGTAGAGTTTCTGAAGATACATATCTGACAAGCTGTTCTTCATCCTTGTCCTTGCTGGAGAAGAGTCAAGAGACTAAGTTAAAGACAGAGTTGGATGCAATCGACGCGCAACATCAGCAGTGGTTTCAACAACTATCTAAAATGAGGGAGGAGGCAATTGAAGCCACCACGAAGAGATGGATGACAAAATAGAAATTAGAAGTTCATTGAAGGAAAAAAAAAAAAAATGAATGCATTTAATTTGTATTTTCAATTCTTTTATTGTGGTTTTCAGTACCGAGAAAAGCCATCTCCACAGGCTTGTGAATATGCGGACTGGAACCTCCTACATTAGAATTTAGATCTCGCCTCCTTCAAGAACTTATACCTATATACGTGTACAGTCCTCGATTCTATTCATTTTTGCATCCTGGCTAATAAAAACAGAGTATATATTTGTATTTTGTACGTGTATGGTACTCGATTCTGTTCATTTTGGCATGTGGAGATTGCGGATATCATCACATAGGTTGACTCTGCTAATTCTTATTATAATGTATATTTGATTTTGTTAATTCCATTCTAATTACAATAGGCTGACTCTGCTCTTCATGATGATACTAATGCGTATAAATGTTCTCAGGCAATTAGTTTATAGTCAGTTAGCCAGTCCTCTTGATGGGATTTTCAGGCTTTTGATGTAGATGAGCTTCAGTGCAGATTATTAATTCATGCCTGCATGATTACTAGTTATTGGTTTTTTCTTCTTTTTTTTCCTCCTCTTATTATTGTACATTAATAAATCAGGCAGAGAAAGGCAGAGTTTTCTTGTTTTCCCGTGCCAGGAACGTTGTTGCAGGGCCTAAAGAGGATCGACACCTGATCACCGGCCTCCACACGGTGGCCGATGTTAGCTGCTCCGATTGTGGAGAGGTGTTGGGATGGAAGTACGGAAGGGCCAAGGAAGGATAAGTCGTTCTTGAAAGTTTAAGATAGTCGACGAAGATTGGTAGCCGATTGCCCAATTCAT